AGCTCTTGTTGTATCGTATCCCAAACACACAAAGGGCTCTGAGTGGCTTTGTACAGTATATCATGCTGTCACCACCGGCACAGAGAGACGAATGTATGGTGTGACGGCCAAAGGCTTGAGCTGCAAACAACATTACAGTGTGCGTGTGCGTGTGTGTCTGTTGGTTATTTGGGTGAGGTTTTGGGTGGGGGCTGCAGTGTGGTCTCACCTTACTATCATCTGTCACTGACAACAGATGTACACACAATACCTTTATTTACCCACCAACCATATTGTGTGTGTGTGCGTGACGCGACACTTCAAAAACACATCAGTACATGCTCTCAAAGCCCGTCTCCTTCGCACCATACAAGTATTGTGGAGACGTCATGTCATCAGCTCCTCATTCCACGTGATCCTGATTTGATGGCTCTTGTCCTCACCTTTCTGAGACAAGAAAGGGACACGAGAAAAGGACGTCCGTCCTCAAAAAGCCACTCCGAAACATCTTTTTCCATTAACCGCAGTGATGAATCTTCCCGGTGTTGGCAGAGGAAGCCTGCCTCCCGATTCATAGTCCACCACAACCCCGCACCTAAAGCTCCCGCCTCATCCATCACACTCCAACAATAGAGATGTCGTCCACTCCCCAGACAGCTGTTCGGCCGCGGCCCCCTGAAAGCGTGTCTGTGTGTGCCTGTGCATCTGTATGTTTATGTACGCGTGTGCATGAACACACATGGGTGAGTTTTGTTGCGTGTACAATGGACCTCTGAGCGTTACAATGAGATCATGTTCCAAAGGCAATGCAAATTTCACATCAGCCTCTACATCACACCACCAGTATTGCGTTGAACATCGTTCATTTGAAGACACTTAAACTGATTGATTACTCCTTTGTTGACAGTGATGCCCGTGATATATTGAAGAAACTTTTTTTAATTGGAAAAGAAATTGGAACCGTGGTCTGCATAACAATGAGTGCTTACAAGCAGGAGAATGAAAGAAACAGAGCTAGATGGACCATCTCTAAACGGCTGGAACAAAGACCAACACGTGAAATAAGTGTGATCTGTCGGATTATTTGTTGAAAGTCTTCTTGGCTGTCTGACAACATCCAGGGGCAGCCCGTGTGCATCCGTCTCATGCCGCGCCACGCTGGTACCGCCATCTGCTACCCGGGCCGATCTTCTGCCCGGCCCGGCAAAAAGTCCTCAAACACTCGACTCCCAATGTCCCGGCTGTGGTCAGACGGCCAGCTGGCACCACGCCGATCGTACCAACGGTTGATGCGCACACGCTGCGACCTTACAGCGGTAACACCAACAGAAAGGTCCGGCTCAATTCCTCGCGCTTCTTCTGCTTTCATCACGTGCACGTGTGGAGGCCGGTTCAGGCGCGGGAAGCGCGTCCGTCCTCCTGTCCTTCCGTCTGTTCCTCTCTATGCCGTTTGGCCCGTTTCTCTGACCTGGATTGAGACCACGGGGAGCTCATCTTCACAGCCACCAAACAGTGTTTATGTGTGTGTGTGTGTGTGTGTGTGTGTGTGTGTGTGAGCGAGAGTTTAAGAAGACGACTCTGAAAAGGAGCCCCGAGAGGGGAGTCAGATGGCGGGTGTTTGTGTTGGTGTGTGGATGGGGAAGGGGGGGGGGGGGCTGACGGGGGCGGATGAAGGAAGGGAGAGAAAGGCACAGGAGGAGGCGGGAGATCGCTCTGTTCTCCACCCTTCAGCTTTTGTTCTCCTAGATAATAACTCTCCTCCCCCTGACTCCGAAAACCAAGGGAACCCCTTTTAGTCTTGAAGTGACATTCCAGTTCAAACTGTGGTTATGACAACAGGCTGTGCACACACACATTAGCTGACGTGATCCGCAGTATTTTTTTGTCGACAGTTGATGCTGCAACTGTGTCAGATTTCTCCTCAATTATAAATGCCCTCCTTTGCCCTAAATAAACCTAGCGTGCTTTTAATCTGGGCCAGAACCGAGTATGAGGGAAACATAGAGCTGCATCACTGCCAACAGCCTGCAGGCCGCTGTCTAAGCCACCAGGACCAAATGAAGAAGCCTGCAATCTGAGTGCACAGGAGAAGGGAAGATACCACAAATTGTAGATATCCTCACTTTCCTCGTCATTCTGAGAGCATTCAGTGCAAGTAGTGACATAACCAACACAGCATCTGCTCTCCTGCTTTAAAAATCAACGCTAAATGCGGGAAGGCAAAGACTTCGCTGGAAGGATTCAAGGGCATTGGATGTTTCAGTTAAAACACGGCTCTATTTGCCGCGACCTGATTGAGTAGAGCAGCACCTGCAACCCACATGAAATCTAAAAATATTCTGCACCATTGACTGCGCCGTGGCCTCAGTAGGTAGATAAATAGCTGCGTTTGTGTGTATTGTGGGGATGTGTGCATGCGTTAAAGTGGGAATACAGTAAGGACTAAATAATATTCCGAGGTTTGCACCTGCCTCGCTTACAAGCCTTAACCTCAAGACCTCTGTGTAAATATGCGTGAGTGTGTGTGTGGCCGTTATGCTAAGCTATTTGAGGCATAATTTGCTGCAATACCATCAACTGCATTTGACTGTTTGCATATTTCACATGGGAGAGATGATATTATACTGGCAACAAGCACGGTGAAAAATGAACAGTAAGACTCAAAAGGTTGCCAACAGTAACGGCAGAAAAGCAGCGCGGTGTGTTAGCGTAGCGTACTTATCCGTCTGCCATGCTATTGACAGATGTGTGACAGATGTGGTGTTGTTAATGTTGCAGTGAAGGCAGGCTTTATCTACAGATACGTCACTGTGCAGAATTTGAATGCTTATCAAATCTTTTTCTCAATTTGCTCTATGTTATAGCTTGCTGTTCGAGGGTTGTTTATTGAGGAAGACCCGTGGAGATTATTGTGAAGATACATAATATTCATCTGAGACTGGCTCCAAAGTAGGCCTATGCTTCATCAAACTGGTAAAAAAAAAGAGATCAATAATGTATGCACAGAATATGATCTGTAGCTGCAGACGTCAGGTCTGCCCTGACCCTTCCTATAAATTCTTCATAAATGCTTCAGAGTGCCTCATGTGTCCAGGTGTTTAATGTCAAGGGTCAGTTGTATTTGTATGCAAAAAAGTGACTTTTAGAAAAAAGCAATGCTTTACAAGCAGTGGGTTTTAGGCAAAGAACAAAACGATAATAATAATAATAATAATCAGATTTTGTAGTCTGTGTTCTGGTTCGACTGCGTTCATTTTATGGAGACTATACATATGCTACGTGTTTAATATAAATCAGCAGTACTGTTTAGTGCACTACATATAGCATTTTCCCTCTTCCTTTCCCTCTCTCACACACAAACACACCTACACTTACAGACACACGCAGGGGGGGATTATGCATTTAAACTGCACGCATCTGCTTTCTTTGGTCCTTGTCACCCCCCTCTTCCTCCCCCTCCTCCCCCCTTGGGTCTCTCCCCGATGCACCGTTCTCCGCACAGGTGCGAGTGCCAGCAGCGGGCTCGAGTCGCTCCGCCAATTAGGATCGCGGAGCGCGACCACGTGAACAAATCCCTTCTAAATTCTCCGTCCGGCAGTCCCGAGTGAGCGAGCGGGTGGGGGTGTGGGGGGGGGAAGAGAGTAATACCGGGCGAGCCGAACGGAAGCCGCGCGCAGGTAAATGGCTTTGTCGCCCCTGGCTTTACACTTTTGGTTTATTTCACTGAGGCTCAGCCGTGATGGTTTGAATGGGGATTCGGGTGGGATTGTTTGGGGGGGGTCTGGGACACTGTATCTTGGATTCAATTTGTCGTCGAAGATCTCTGCTCTCCCCTCCGATCCGCGGACAGGACAAACCGCATCATCGGTGCTCGGTCGCTCCGCGCCGTCTGCGCATTGTAACCGCCGCTTGCAGACGCGGGAGGCTATTGATAGTTGACAGAAGCCCCGTAATCCCCGGCTGATCTGGCTGACCGGCCACAGCCATTTGCGAGAAACCAGAATGTTGATTGAACTTTTTTATTTTGCTCCGCGATTTGTTTTAATTGGTAACGCCGGCGTGGATTGACGCCTTGCAGGAGGGTGTGTGTGTGTGTGTGTGTGTGTGTGTGTGGGGGGGGGGGGGGGGGGTGATGGGCTTCCTTTTTGATGCTGCATGCAACCAGGCAAGCAGGCAGAGGCGAGTTTTTATTGCTGAATTATTTATAAGACTGTCTGGGATTTGGAGAGAGAGAGAAATATGCTTCACTTGAGAGGGAGTCAACATATATTCATAGACTCTTTCTAATCGGGATGTGTCCCCATTTCCACTTAAATGTACAGCCTTTTTTTTAGTTTGACCAATTTGAGCTACAGTCTAATTGAAAGGCAGCGCGTTCCCTTTTTATTTTAGCAATTGAATCTAATTTAATGCTGAGAGGATTATGCGAAAAATCGATTAGCCAACCATGAGAAAATGACTAAATCGAGCTTTTAAGCCAACTCGTGGATGAAGTAATATGAACAAACTCTTTATCTGATTTGAGCTTTTGAAATGTGAGAATTGTATCATTCTCATGTCTATAACAGGAATCATCGGACTGTTAAATAATCGCTCTGGGAAGTTGTAGGACCATTTGTCCCAATTGTCTGACAGATTAATGCCTCGATTTAACGATTGATCGAGATTAAGGTAAAATAAAACGTTCATACGCTGGCTAATTGATGACAAATTAGTCAATAGTTGTCCAAGTTATATTCAATTAAATTAACTAAGTGAACAACAACCCTTTTCTACTGCATCCGCCGCTGTTTATTTCACTGTCACCCGCGTTTCTAATGCTACCTCACACAAAAAAAAGAAAGATGAATGAATAAACAATGAAATACACGCAGCGCATTTCCTCCTGCCATTGTTGCTGCCTTTTCACAGCCGCACTCCAGCGGAATGAATCGACTCGCTTCGCACATGCGCACTGGACAGCAACGCCCCCTCCCCTTTTCCTCTCTCTCTCGCTCGCTCGTCTCGTGCTGCTCGCGCGCAGGAACCAGCAGGCGGCTGCGCGAGCTCTCTGCCTCGCTGCTCCGCTTTTGTTGAGGCTCGAGCAGAGCGGACGGTGACAGCTCAGGTTCGGCGCGCTCATTTAGTGGGATTTATGTTATTCTTTGACCCGTTTTTGGATGTCTACGTCTCGGTTGCAGTGACGGGCCACCGACAACTTACTGCTCACACCGTAAGTTGCTTTTTAAATTTTCTTTTTTTTATTTCTAGCGCTGTTTTTTGTATTTGTCTTCACCCCGGTGTTTTATGAGGGGCTTAACGTGCTGTCACAACGAGAAAGAGAAAGAGGTGTTTGGGCTCGTTGGCTTTTTTCTATCTTACGTTCTCTCTTGGTCGATAGAGTTGGAAACGTACCGCCTGGTTATCCGCTCCGTCCTGGCGTTTGCGGTGTGTGAGTTCCTCTTTCTGTTGTCGAAAGCCGAAGACAACAACAACAACAACAAAAAAGAGCCACTCTACGCGCCGTGCCGTGTTTCTACCGTGTTTCCACGTTAAGCTGAATTTCCCTCCTGGAGAATAATATTTAGACCGGAGGTCTCTGTTGGACCGCAGCTCATCTAAAGCAGGTGTCTGATGATCCACTTCCGCACTATGCCGCGAGGTATCGATTTTACACGTGAACCCACCGAGCTCTGTTTTTATTTATTTTATTTATTTTCTCCAACTCCTGTTCGGTAGTTAGAGGTCCTTTTTATTTAGTTCTTTTTTTTATTGTGATGTTTGGTATTTTTTATTAGTTTCATTTCCTCATTTCAACCCGCGCGAGGCAGCATTTTTTTTTTTAGAGAACCAAAGCAAAGTATTGAAGCACCGTTGTGCATCACCGAAGTCATTTCCACACTTAACATAGTGTGAGCGTGTGTATGTGTGTGGGGGTGAGCGTGCGCGTGTTTCCGTGGTTGTCCATGCGCGCATGGATTGTGAGTGAGCGTGTGTGCGTGCGTGTGTGTGAAGGAAATCCTGAACTGAACCTCCTCCTTGCTGAACCCGCCTCGTTGTCTTCCCCAAACCTGTTAAGTGGGTCAATTGTAAACTAACACCGTATGTTCTCGGTCTCACAACAACCAGACACGCTGCAAAAGAGACACAATCTGGTGTGTGTGCAGAGGTCCACAGCCACACTCACTTACTTAGTCAGAAGGTCGTGGATTTGGCTTTTCTTTTTTAAATCTGCAGCCAGGTTGTTTGTGTTGTGTTCATTGACTCTTGTTTTCCTTCGGGCTGTGCTGCGTTCAGGAGCTGTGGTCTTGCAGGCTTGACTTATTGCCTGTTGACTTTCGGGTTATTTTGGTTCGCTCCACCCTGTATCATGTGCAGGAGGCGTCTCTGGTAACATACCCGGCCACACCTGCCCTGCTTGGGCAGAAATGTGGGGTGTCTTTGTTTTAATGCCTTGCCTTCTTGGTTTCTGTGCCTGAGTATCACGAGGCAACTTTCCAGTGAGCAGAGCATAGATGTATGGAGCAGAGAACCAGGGATGGGGGCATGTGGAGAAAGTGTGTCTGTGTGTGCTTGCATGGTTGAGTGTCTATGCCCCCCCCTCCCCCTCCTAATAGCACATTCACACACTACTCCTCATAAGTATTGACTTCGCAGTGAACTCTATCAGTATCGACGAGATGAGAAGTAGGGAGAGCGCGATCTTAATTTTGAACTTCTGCTTTGTCGATATTTCTTCAAGAATTGTTTTCGGTCCCTATTTCTTATTTGGATTTCGCTCCTTAAGTCTTTTTGGTGTGATGTGATTCATTCCTTTTCTTCATTTTCTTGGGCATTATAATTTTTGTGTCTCCAGCCCCCTTTTTGACCATTATCCTCTCACGGGTAAATAAGCCAGGCAAACATTTTACTCCTACCTGTAGCGTATTATATGTCAGGCTTATTATTGTGCTTTGACATTTCAAGAAGGTACACATTCAATTTCACAAACAAATCATCTATATCCTTAGCTGTAAGTGTTTGACCCTGGTTTAAAACGGCTCATTAAAGCACAGTAAATTTCAAATCGCTCCATTAGACTTTTCCAAATTACTGTTATTTTCCAGCAATAAAACATACCTTGGCTCAGGTGAAGACTGCAACACATCGCACACTGAGCGCGCATGGCAGAGACTAACGCAAATACAGACGGGAACACAAACATGGCGGAGTGCCGATGAGAAAAGCGTCCGCTAACCAGAAAACCCCCAATGTTTTGTACTTTAAATTTGTTCTGATCTATTCCACACTAAGTCAGGTAGAAATATTGATTCAGCCCATTTACAAATGTGCTTCCAATCGCTTTACAATTAGCAAAGCACACAACGCCCTCTCTCCTCAGATCCTCAATTCTGATGATTAAATACCCCCCCCCCCCGGAAATCCTTTTTAACCAGGGGACACAAAGAGGGAGAACAACACTTTTATTTGACAAATACAAATGTCTGTCCCCTGTCCTTCGCTCGTCCCCTTGTCTGTGTGCCTCTGCGTGTTTAGCCTGGATCACCGCCGTCTGCTTCGCGTCCCCCTTCGTGCTGATCCGGTACCGGTTTGCTTTTAGATGTCGCTCCTTGGGTTTAAGCCGTTTAGCATCTCAGCCACCCAATCCCAGCAGCCGAGGACTCTCGGACACAGTTGCATCGTGGGACGTCTCTCTCTCCCCCCTTTGCCGCCTCGGCCGTGCCCTCGTTTCCCGGTGCCCAGTGCCCATCAGCGAAACAAGAGTCTGCCCACCGGCTCTCGGATTCAATGACACACAGCAGCACATTTTTAGAGTCTTATCTGGCGAAGGAAATGTAGCACTAATCCCATTGGCTGGCGCTTTAGTAAAAGCTCTCCTAATTGGCCGATCGGGCAGCTGGCCGCCATGGTTTCCAGTAAGCACAACAGGCAGTTGGGAAGAGTCCCAGGGGGTGCAGGAGACGCTGAACAAAGGGGAGATAGCGGAGGGTGCGCGACTGTTTTGAATATTCCCTCCCACGCGGCGCTACAAAGGAAGGACCCATCTGCATCCTGCAGTCTCGGGTCTACAGGGGACGTCGCAGTTTCAGCTGTGGTGATTGCCAAACGCATGCGAATACACACACACACACACACACACACACAACCTCCACGTTCCATCTGCAAACACGCTTTGAGGAAGCCGCCAACTGGTGTTTGTGCGGGAAGGGGCGGCACTGCAAGAGGAAGAGCGGTTCTTTGCCGTGAAATAAACGCTGCTACATACCAACATCCAATGCAGCCGTTCCGGTTTCCTTTCACCTCAGTGTGGAATCCAAGAATAGCTCCGAGTGACGGAGACAAGAGATGAGACAGAGGGAGGAGAGCAAAGAGGCGCTGCCAGACAGGCAGAGGCAGAGACTGTGAGAGATGGCCATGTAAGGGTTCCTGCACCACACCAACGCTGAACTCAAAGTGAACTGTTCACAGTTCAGGGTCTCAAATCACTGTTAACTTGAACTTTGGCTTCGTTTGGCTGCTTCACAATGAAACAAAGGGAGCCTTCAGCACGCTTTGGGGAACGTGTAATAACAGTGAGTTCCTTTTAAGGAATGGCCTGTTTTGCCTTTTTCCTTCAGTTGATTTCCTTTCATATGATGAATTAATATACTATAGGCCTATAGAGCTCCCCAATAAAAAATAAACTGCCTCACTAGGTACAACAACTATATTTCTATTTTTTTATGCGCACAAAAATGTGATGATGCATTCCAGTGGAAAGTAATAAAATATGTAATTCTGTAAATGGTAGATGTGAAATGGACCATTTGAATGAATGGCAGAAGGTTATCAGAGACCTCTGCAAATGTTGGCCTAATATTTAGGGTTAGGATTAATGGAGAAGCAGAGTTGATACAAAATTGTTCTACTTGCACTAGTAAAGTTTCACCAGAGATCGAGGAAAAATACAAAACAACATACATGCATATGAATATCTCTCGAATTGGCAAAAGCAGTGAAAGACACAATCCTTGCAGTGTGAGTGTGCTGTGCATCATTCATTTGCCAAAGTTTGCAACATTGCATGCTTACACCAATAGATATCTCTCCACTAATTATCTTTTTCAACATGTTATCCATACCACACCTTTAACATTATATATGAGGTAATACCAGACACACAGATCTTTCCGCTCTTTTGGGTCTTTTTGCCTCTTGTTTTTGTAAGACGATGGAAGCTAAAAACCCACCTCCACCATATCTGGACGAGGTAGCACTTTATTAGCACTTTCGAATGCACTTACTTCTAGCACTTTGTTGTTTGGCTTTCTTGCGGGAATTGTACTTTCTTCATTCTGGTTCTTCTGGGTCTTTGTTGAATGCACTTATTGTAAGTCACTTTGAATAAAAGCGTCAACTTAATGTAAACAGAAAGTCAGGAGACTGATCGTTGGCGCCAATAGTGAATTAAGGGAGACTGGTGCAAAGAGGGGGGAAAAGTTAGCTGAAGATGTGAAAGGAGATAATTCTTTTTCATTTCGCTCACACATTTACCCATTATGTGTAAACTGTGACTAGCTTTACATGCACATGATTCACCCATCAACCCAAATGTAGGCGATAGACATTATCGTCATTGTGTAAGAAATATGCAGTTGAATATGTTGCAGCAAAATGTCTTAATTATGTTGTTGCCCTTTTGGATGTATCCATGAATGTCATTTTGGTGTACATGGACTATGAGAAGTGGGGCAAGTTAGTAATGTTCTGACACAAAAAACCCTTCCTCTATTAATCTAATTTTTGTTGTTGTGTTCTTTTAAAAAAACATCCACCATTGCATTCTTTTCTGCGCGAGACATTTTTGTTGTGCTGTGCACAATTAAAACTTAAAAAAGGCCAGACTAGATTGTTTCCATGCCAACAGTAGTCCCAACAACCGCTTTATTATCATTTATTTTATTTTAATTGTTTTCACGTAATTATTACGGCATTCGGCTTAAAAAAACTCACTCTGGCTTCAGCAAAATGACGCCGCCGAAGGAGCGAAGCGTCTTCGGTTTGACAGTTTGGTATGGGAGGCCCATCTGCTCCGTCACTCAACAACTGTGACTCACCGAGTGTCGCCTCTCTGCTCCGCCCAGCAGTCGCACGCACGCCGACGGAAACATGGAACTCATGTAGTGGACACATTTTGCAAACCCCATTTGCGCGCACCTCGTCCAAACTCTCTCTCTCTCTCAGACACATGCA